GAGGAGGAGGAGGAGTTAATGTCTGAAATGATGGAGTGGCATGGTAGTTTGGACATTTGGGAAATCTTTGACCTCCGCCTCATGGGGACCGGCCTAGTGCTGATCTTTCTAAGAGAAATTGTTCAAGCATGCCTATATATAATTCTTTTGAATTCCTTATCAGGGAGTTCCAATTCTGCCTCTTCCTCGGGGTTGTATTTTGGGTGTGTGTCGTGGTCCCTTGTCTCTCCTTCTTTATCTTGCTTCTTTGTGTGGACTGTGATTCTCTGTTGTCTCTGAATGTTTGTGATGTTTTTGTGTTTATATTTAATTGGTGATTGTACATTGGAGTGACTTGCCCATGATTTTTGTTTTCTTTGGATGTTATCTACATAAGCAGGGTACTGTGCTGTGCTCCTCTATTCACTAGTTGACAGCACTTACACATTCACCACCTCTCTCCTTTCCTGTTTTCAGCCTCTCGTATATCCCTGTCATCCTTGGCAAACAGAGCCTATTCTTAGGTCCCTGGTATCTGAATGAAAATACTGTCACTTTAAAATCCAAAATGGCTCCCACTTGTAAAGATTCCAAATGGCTGCGCCCTCGATCACTTTAAATATCCAAAATGGCCACCGGTTGTAAACAATCAAAATGGCTGCACTCTCGAACACTTTAAATATCCAAAATGGCTGCCACGTGTAAACAATCAAAATGGCTGCACCCTCTGGACAGCAGAAACTCCACAGCTCATGTCTCCCTCCTTGCTGTTTCCCTGCCTAGTCATAGGCCACCAGCACAGTTGTCCCTGCAGCCCTTCGTGACCAGGGCTGAACTTTAGGTCAATTCTCAGGTCCTAACACCACTTGGAAATATTCAGGCTGTTGGTTCCGTCTCAGTAGGTAGACAGTCCTGAGCTCCGGCCATCTCCGTATTCACTGTTTTCGTTCAGGTTTTTTCTACTAGTTGGTGCCTAATCCACTTCTGTATAGTTCCTTTCAAAGCTTAGGGCTCCAGGATTATCTTCTGTATCTCTATCAGTTGGCTTCTCTTTTCTTTGTTGAAGAGGGTGTGTGTCACTGTTTCTCCATCTTACCAGAAGTCATTCAACTCATTATTTTTTAATTGTGGTAAAAATATATATTAGCAAAATATTTGCCATTTCAATATTTTTCACATGTATAATTCAGTGCCAATATTTTCATCATGTTGTGTATCCATCACCATCATTTCCATATTTTTTCTATCACTCTTAACAAAAACTCTGTACCCTAAAGAATGACTCTGGTAACCAATAATAAACTTTGGTCTCTGTACTTCTGTTATTCTGGATACTTATTATAAGTGGGATCATGTAATATTTGTCCTTTTGTGACTGACTTATTTTACTCTGCATAGTGTTTTCAAGGTTCATGTATATTGTAGCATGTGTCAAAATTTTATTTCTCTTTATGGCTGAGTAATATTCCATTGTATGTATATCCTACATATTATTTATCCATTCATCTTTTGATGGACATATAGATTGTTTCTACCTTTTGACTATTGTGAGTAGTGCTGCAATGAACATTGGTATACAAGTATCTGTTTGAGTCTCTGCTTTCAATTATTTTGAGATAATTCCACGCAGGAGTGGAATTGCGGAATCATATGGTAATTCTCCATTGAGAAGAATGGGAATCCCCGAGCACTTGATTGTACTCATGAGGAATCTGTACCTTGACCAGGAGGCTGTCGTTCGAACAGAACAAGGGGA